TGCTTCTTTGTGTGTCTTGTTATTTTTGATTATATGCTGCTCAATGTCTTTGACAAATTATTTATGGAAATCCCTTGAGCCCTAGGAGTCCCTGGGGGGGTGTACATGGTTAACATGCTCAGCTGCTAACCAAAAGGTTAGAGGCTTGAGTCCACCCAGAGGCACCTTGGAAGAAAGCCCTGGTGACTTACTTCTGAAAAATCAGCCATTGAAAATTTTACGGAGGACAGTTCTACTCTGACACACACGGGGTTGCCATGAGTCAAAACTGATTCCACAGCAACTGGTTTTCTTGAGGTCTAAGACAAGATGGATTGACACAGCACAGTGGCTGCAAAAATGGGCTCAAGTGTAACAATGATTGTGAGGCTGGCACAGGACCGGGCAGTGTTTCACTCTGTTGCACATAGGGTCACTATGAGTCAGAAACGACTTGACGGCACCTAACAGCAACAACATCCATCAACAACTAGATGGATGTGCCCCCCTACAGAAAGGCTTAGAATTAGTCCTGCCAGGCACCAGAGGACACTATAGAAACCCTGGTCTTCATCTCATCTCAGTTTTTCTCATCTAAGTAAACAGCAACTCTTCACCCAGTTACTAAAGTCAGAAACACAAGATTCATCTCTTCTCCTCACCCCCACTTTAAATCCCTTAGCAAATCCTATCTACTCTGTCTCCAAAGTATTCCAAACCCAGTCACCTCCTTCCATCTGCATGTTGCCACTCCAGTGAAAGTTCTCCTCCCCTCTTGCCTGGACCACTGCAGAAGACTAACTGGTCTCTTGCTTCCACTCCTGCCTGCTTCAATCCATCCTACACCCAACCATCAGAGGGATGGTTAAAAACATGAACGATAAGGAAAAAAACAAACAAACGTGAATCATATCATGTCGTTCCCCTGCTTAAATCACTTCAGTGGATTCCCATCGTGCATGAAATCAAATCAAAGTTCCTCATCATGGTCCAAAGGCCCTGGGTAAACTTCCTCCTCTCCAACCACTCTCCCTCTTGCTTGCCTTGATTCAGCCACACCGATTTCCTTTCTGTTCCTTGGACAGGTCAGATTATTTCTCATTTGAATCCCTTTACACTTGCTTTCCTTCAGCCTGGACCATTCTTCATGTCTATTATCTTTTAGGTCTTAACACTTAACACTTAGAAACAGCTTTCCAAGCCTCCCCTCCCCAGTTACTCTCTGCCACAGCACCCTGGTTCTTTCCTTTACAGCACATACTGCACTGTCCAGTTAGACAGTTATTTACTTTTTGTTTTACCTGTCCACAAGGCATTGATGGTTTAGTGGTAGAATTCTTGCCTTCCACGGGGGAGACCCAGGTTTGATTCCTGGCCAATGCACCTCATGCGCAGCCACCACCCATCTGTCAGTGGAGGCTTGCGTGTTGCTATGATAATGAACATATTTCAGCAGAGCTTCCAGACTAAGATGGGCTAGGAAGAAAGCCCTGGTGAGCAACTTCCAAAAATCAGACAATGAAAACCCTGTGGATCACAACAACCCTACCTGCAAGCAGTCATGGGGATGATGCAGGACTGGGGAGCATTTTGTTCTGTTGTGCATGGGGTCACCATGAGTCCTGGGCCAACTTGACAGCAGCTAACAGCAACGTCTCTCCACAGCCAGAATGTCAGCTCTCTAAGCACAGAGACCTTGTAGCCTTGCTCGCTGCTGCAACCCCAGCACCCAGCACAGATCCTGACACACGGAGGTGTTGTAAATGTTTGTCACATGAAAAAATGAGGTGGCAGAGCTAGTACTTGAGCTCAGTCTTTCTGACTCCCAAACTTGAGCCCCGTCTGCTACATTCTGTCCCCAGGGCAGCAAACTGGTGGTTGTGGAAAGGGAACTGGCTGAAAGGCAGGACGCCTGACTTCCTGCAGCAGACTTTAGGAGTGCTGTTGGGCAAGTCCTTCCCTCTCCGTGGGCCTCCATTTACCTGTTTTGAGTCACAAGGATGAAACCAGTGAGAGGAACAGAAGCAGATACTTTTACGTCCAGAAGGTGGCGCCATTGGCTGTATTTATTTTTCCCTCTCCACGTTGTATCAGGCAGCCAGGATCTCCGGTTCTGAATGTCAGGGTGCCTTCTCATCAAAACACACACACATTTTAACGACTGTCTATATGGAATTAAATTGACAACAGCAACTCGAAAGGTCAGATAGGAACCTTAGGGGGCAGTGAGTTTATGTTAATGGGGGAGGAACAACTCAGAAAAAGAGGGTGAGAATGGCTGCACAACTCAAAGAACGTAATCACTGTCACTGAATTGTACACGTAGAAACTGTTGAACTGGTGTATGCTTTGCTGTGTGTATTCTCAACAACAAAAACAAAAACTAAAATAAATTATTAAAAACACACACACACACATAGCCTTCCATCACTCCCCGCTATCACACCTAAACCCCAGTGAGGTATTTCTTTCTTCTAATATATTTTTATTTATTAATTTTTACTTTTTTATTAAGCTTTTTCTTTTGGAATAGATCTAGACTTACAGGAAAGTTGTGAAGATTATAGAGTTCCCGTATATTCCATATCTATTTCCCTGTTACTAGATTTTTACATCAGCATGTTACGTGTGTTGCAGTTAATAAACCGACATTGAGAAATTAACTGAAGTCCATACTTTATTCAAGGAGCTGTGGGGGCACAACGTTTAAGTGCTCAGCTGCTAACTGAAAGATTGGTGGTTTGAACCCACCCAGAGGCTCCATGGGAGAAAGACCTGGAGATCTGTTCCCGTAAAGATTACAGCCTAGAACACCCTATGGGGCAGTTCAGCTCTGTCACATGGGGTCACTGCGAGTCCGAATCCACTCACTGGCACACAACAATGACAACGACATACTTTATTCAGATTTCCTTAGGGTTTTTTTTTTTTTTAAACTTATGTCCTTTTTCTGTCCCAGGAGCTCATCTAGGACACCATATTGTATTTTGTCTTACGTCTCCTTGGGCTTCTCTTGGATGTGACAGGTTATCACACCTTTCCTGCTTTTGATGACCACCAGTGAGATTTTTAGAGGGGACGCCTTCTTGAGGTCATGGTTACTTAAGATTCCAACCTGGAAGTTACAACCCTTTGCCCTCCGGGGAACTTAGGAAGAAATGATTGCCGTAGAAATCGGTGACTTTCTACTCAAATCCTTGGCTGATCCCGGGAGACGGTCCTCTCAGCCACATATTTATAGAATGCCTGCTGTGTGCCAGGCCTTGTTCTTGGTGCCAGGGATGGAGCAGAGCTAAGACAGACAAGGGTCCTCTCGGGACTTACAGTCCAGTTCTTTTATCCACGTTGGAAAACAGAGGCACTTGGAAGGCAGAGGGCAAGACCTCACCGTCCTGACCCATCCAAGGTGGACAAGGGTGGCAGGTCCTGTGACCCTCTGGAGGGTATGGCTCAGAGCTGGAGGATTTGGTAAGAGAGGAAGTTTAGGAGACTTCTCAGTGCTGTGCTGTCAGACCCTGGAATCCAGCCCCTGCATTTCACTGGCGAAGATTTGGTGTCTGGAATGGAGGAGAAAACTTATAACTCCCTCCAAGCCTTCATGACCACCACTGCCTTCTAATTCAATGTAATAACTTATGTCTGTTCTGTGCTTCTCAACTTTAAAGAGACCCCATCAAATCCTAATAGGATCTTTGGGAGATAGTGCCATTACCATTAGTCCCTGAGGCTCTGGTCACACTCAGCAAATAATTGGTGGAGGCGACATTTGAATCCAAGTCTTTCTGTCTCCTCAGTTTCATCCTCCCCCGCATATCCCGCCCATACCCTGTTGGGCCCTCAAGCTTAGAGAAAAGCAGTATATTTTAAAACTGTTTCTCTTGACCCACTAAGTTATACTCTGCTCAGACGTTTGGGGCTTGCTCTAGTTCGCAGACCTGGAGGAGCCAAAAGGAGGGAACACCTTACCCCACACTTGTGGATGAGAGGCCCCTGCCCCAGCCCAAGCCTACCTTCTTGGGCAATCTTGGATGAGATCATTGAGATGTCTGGTTCACAGGGGCAGAGGAGACGGCCCAGGGTTTGGACACAAATAATGTGGGTGTGTTGCCCACCTGTGCCTCTTACCAACTGTGGGAGCAAATCACTTTTCATCTGTGATCCTCAGTTTCCTCATCAGTGAAATGGGGCTACTCCTCCTGCCCCAGAGGGTTTATTGCCGTGAATAAGAGATATGAGAGAGTTTGTCAGCTGAAAGCCACTTGCTGGGATATTGCTGTTGTTGTTAGGTGCCGTTGAGTCAGTTCCAACTCATAGTGACCCCGTGTACTACGGAACGAAACACTGCCTGGTCCTGCGCCATTCTCACAAACGTTGTTATCCGTGAGCCCATTCTTGCAGCCACTGTGTCAATCCATCTGTTTGAGGGTCTTCTTCTTTTTCGGTGACCCTGTACTTTACCAAGCATGATGTCCTTCTCCAGGGATGAGTCTCTCCTGATAACATGTCCAAAGTATGTAAGATATAGTCTCGCCATCCTTGCTACTAAGGAGCAGGGATGTTGGAGGTGGCTTAATTTCCAGGGAGAGGATCCAGGGCCCTAAAGGAAAGTTTCTTCCCTGCAGGATCAGGCTGAAGAAAAGCACTCATGTCTAGAAGCTTCAAACCCATTCCGAGAACCAATGCCGAGATGAAGCCCCTTACCCCCCCCCAGCCCCTTCTGCCCCCTCCTATGCTGTGAGCACCACAAGCCTGGAGCAGGGAAGGGACTGCTCCAACATCTTCCAGTGCTGGACGCTGAGCACCTAGGAGACATGAGGCAGCATCTGTCTCAGCTCCAAACACCCCAGCATCTAGCACGATGAGCCCACACTATACACTCAGATGTTGGTGAACGAATGAATGCGTGAGTGAATGAAGAAGTCCCAGGGCTGTAGTCGGGTCCAGCCCGGACATCCTGACTCCAGGCTTCTGTCTGGGCCCCCCCACACTTCCCTGTTCACCACAGAGCATGACACCAGGGGTACCAAAAAGGCAAACTGGACTTTATTATAAAGTTGGCTACAAAGTCACCGCAGCACCACGAGGTGGCCATTTGGCAGGCCCAGGCGGTCTGGCGGCCGGGTGAGTCCCGCACCAGGTACACGCACTCGTGCAAGCATGCGTGTGACGGCAGGTCTGCCTTCCTCCATCGGAAAGGAACGTAGCGTCTCTTCGCGCCCCCCACCCCAGGCGCGGGGCGCAAAAGTCACAGGAAGGGCCACCAGGGCGGCCGAGTCCATCGGAATTGAAATCCCGTTACTGGTGTGTAGAGAATTCTACGTGGGTGTCAAGAGCCCCTCGGGGCACAGGCTGGCCCGGGTGGGCCGTGCCTTTCCCCCACCAAGGCCCAGGGGTGGCTTGGCCCCTAGGAGTGGAGAACTGGCCCAGGCCCATGGGGCAGCGCGGGTGGGGGGAAGTGAGACTCCCCCATTCTCCGCTTGAAATCCCATTCAAGGAAACTCACTACGAGTGAATACGGATTGAAATGGAAACTGGGATCGCTCGAAGTCTCTTGATTTTAAAAAGAAGCTCCCCTCCCATGCCCTCCCACCTCCCCCCCCCAAATCCTTCAGGGCCTGGGGAATCAGATACATCCCCCTCTGGCCCCCAGAGTCCCCCCAACAGTCTCGGGGGGGTGGAGAGCGGCTCCACGTCTTGATGACAATATGCCATACTTGACGACGTTAAGTCACAGACTTATTCAAAACGTTGGTTCCCCTCCACTTCCATCTGCAGAGAGAGACAGAGAAGACAGTCAGGGAGGCCTGTTAGGACAAAGGGTCCATGGCTGAGCATGTGGTGCAGGGTTGGTCCCAAAACTGAATGATCACTGGAGGGTCAGCTGATGGGGGACAATTTGGACAGATGGAGTGACACTATGGCTGTACTTCTGGAAAGTCTGGGCCATAAGCAGGAAGCACACCATGGGGCCATGGTCTGAGCCCCACCATTCTTTCCCCAACCCCTATAAACCCTTGCTCTGTATCCCCTTTAAGGGGCAAGAATACTGGGCTAGAGCTCTAATCCTCTTCCATCAATTTGCTGTGTGACCTTAGTCAAGTTTCTTTAACTCTGGGACCTTGATTGTCTTCATCTGTAAAATAGGGTGGGGATAACTGATCTAGGTCCCTCATAGGGTTAAGAAACCATTACCTAAGGAGACTCTAGCACTCTATCCTACTCCCCAACCCCTGGCCCCATGCCTCCTTGTCCAGAACTTTCATCTTAAGTTCTTCATTTATTCTTATCCTCACTCCTCCCCTGGGCAGCAGGAGATGCCATCCCATTAATAAAATTGAGACACAGACAGGGGAATTGCCTCAACTAATGGCACCTAGCATCCTATTGGTAGGGCAAGGAGTAGAGTTCTCAGATATTTCAGCTGCACTCACCTTCATGGAAGCTGTCTTGAACTTGGCTCTGGAGTTGATGCAACTCATCAGTAAACCCATCATAGGGGAATGCTGAGACACCTGTCTCAAAGGCGGTTTCGTATGTGGCCAGGTCCTCCAGGAAGCTGTGGTCTTCTGGGGACAAGTTGTTGCAAGGTGACAGGGCCCCTCCTGGGCCTGCTGCCTCAGGATCCCCTGAACCCCACTCCCCATTGGGGGCTGAGGTGGAGAGATCCATGAAGATGTCTTCCACAGGCGTCTCTTCCAGGAATATGTCATCAGGGTCAGCCAGGAAGTCCGGCTCCTGGCATCTCCAGGGTTTCAGGTCCAGGCTGAGCACAGGGGGGCCAGCCCCTGGCAGAGAAAGGTTGGAGTCCAGGGGCTCCAGCCCTCCAAGTGGCTCCAGCCCGCCAGTGCCCGCCTCAGCCGAGAAGGGCCTGTCCATGCCCTGAGCCAACTGGCTGATCTGCTGGATGAGACGGTCGATCTCATGCTGCTCCTTCTCAGAGTAGTGAAAGAAACTCTGCTTGACAGGAGAGGCCTCCGGTGTGAGCAGGCCTTCAGGCATCAGGGGGACATCCACAGAGAGGGGGCCCCGGAGCTGAGCCAGGGCCAGGAGTGTGCAGTCCCCATTACCAGGGCTGCTGGGACTTGGGGGCAACTTCTCATAGAGAAAACTGCATCCCTCCTGGGCGAAGTAAGTCTTGGTGGAGTTGGGGCTCAGCTGTTCTGGAAAAGTTTGGCTGGGGCTGCTCAGGTGTGCTTGGAATGCTGTGCTGGGAGGAGTCAGCTGCTCCTGGGCAGGGCTGCCCAGAGGCTCTGGAAAGGTGGCAGTGCTGGGCAGCAGCTGGTCTGGGAAGGTGGAGGTGCAGGGAGTCAATTGGTCTTCATAGCTTCTGGCCGAGGCTTCGGTCAACCGGCCCTGTAGCGGGCTAGTTAGTGGGTCTGCGAAAGTTGCACTGCTGGGTGTCAACTGATCTGAGAAGGTTACAGTGCTCGGAGTCAGCTGTTCTTGGAGAGAGCTTGATGGAGTGGGCAGATGGGTCTGGAAGGGCTCATGGAGGCTGAAGAGGAAGGCACAGCCTCCTGGCTGGCGAGGTGTGTAGGGTGGGGTGCACACAAGGTCCTTGCTCAGGTCAGCTTGCAGAGAAGGCTCAGGCCCAGCAGGGAATGTCAGGTAACTGAAGTCCAGTTCTTTGGGGGGCCGGGGAAGCTCTTCGGATGCTGAAACAACACCCAGTTCAGGAGCGCCAGGGAAAGTGGTGTTTCTGGGAGTCCCCAGGCCTGGGTTGAAGAGTGGGTTAGGGCTGGAGCACTGCTCCTGGGATAGGACGCTCTCAGGGAATGAGGGCAGCATGGTGGGAGTGCCCAGGACATAGGTTGTTTGGGTGTCTTCAGAGTTCAGCTGCTGGCGGAGGCTCCAGGCTTCCGAGTCACTGGAGAGGAGAGAGGAGGCCACTGGTAAGTGTCTGATGTCCATTCCCAGAGCAGTCCCTGCTTTGTATCTCCTTCATGACGACCTCAGCTGCCCCCTAGGCCCCTGCCTTGCAGCTCACCTGATTGGGTAGTTATTGGCAGTAATGGCACCCTCCAGACCTTCTGAGTACAACAGGCAGTAAATCCACGCCCAGCCTCCAGTTTTGGCCTGCAGTCTCACCACCATTTCTGCCTGAATATCTCCACTCTCAGCCACTGGGGAGGAAGAAGACATGCAAAGTTAGGATGTCCATTGGGCAACATCACCTCAGCTCCCCCCTTGTTCACCTCTCTGCTGAAGTGAGGTAGCCATGACATCCTCTTCCCTGACTACCTTAACCTGCAACACTCAGCTCCCCACCTTGACCTCACCACTCAGAGTCCTCAAGTTCCAATTCTATTCTCACCTTGACTCCTCACCCTAATGCTCACCCTATTGAATCCAAAACTGCTGACTTCTGGTCTCTCCCCAACATCAGTCCTGACCCCAGCTCATCCCTGGTTTTCTCTTCCATGCCCGTGCCCAGTTCCCTATCTCGCCTCCCCACCCCGGCCTCTCTGGACACTCACACAGGCGGTAGTGTTGAGCAGAAGCATGGGCCAGGTCCTCAGGGTGCAGCAGTCCATACCATGATTTACAGAGCAGTTCATTGCGCTCAAAGCCCAGGTAGATTAGGACACTGGGAAGGTGGAAAGGGTGAGGTCAGCTTTCTGTTTTCCCTGATTGATACCCAGGCATCTCACTCCCTCCCAGGTTGTCTAACCCCCTAGACACCATGCTCCCTGCCCCTGACTCTCCAGAATCTAGGGGTCCCCTCCTCTCTGGCCTGTCTTCCTCCTGGGGTCTGGGGACTCAGACTTACTTCTCAGAGATGTCCAGTAGAGCCAGGTCCTTGGCATGACGACTTTGGAACATGGCCAAGAAGAGTGAGGCAGGGCCAGGGCCAGGGCCAGGCCCAGGGCCAGGGCGGGGTCTTGGTTCCAGAGGGGCACAGAAAGCTGTGAATACAGGGTTTCCTGCCCAGTAGGCCCCAGGCGGGTGAGGGTGAAACCGGCCTCGAATAAGCACCAGCTTGTTGCCTGCGCTCTGGCGCCTGAGGGACTTGGAGGTGTTGAAGCGACAGCGGAAGAGGCGATCTAAGTGGGTGAAGAGAAAAATTGGTAATGGGATGCGTGGCTGAGAGATAGCAGATGGGGAGGAGCTGGGTATCAGGAGGGAGATTGAACTGACGAAAGCAGAAGGGGGTCCTCACCGGTGTCCAGGGCAGAGGGCAGGGTGAGTTGCTGGCGCACAGTGAGGTGGTCAGCTGGGTCAATGATGTCGTAGATACTGTCACCCTGAGCAACCAGATCCACCTGGAGGGAGGAAGGGAAGAGATGACCATTAGTTAGGGCAGCAAGAGCCAATCCTTGGCCCTCAGCCTCTTGCAGGAATAACCCCTCCCTCTCCAGTAATTTTCAGATCCGAAGAGGTGGAAATATCATTGCCCCCCATCTGAGCCCCAGCCTGAACTGACAGGACTCTAAGCACTCACCATGGAGTGGCCCAGATGCTCGCTCACACTCTCAGACAGGTAAAGCAGCTTCCCCTCAGCCGTGAACACAAGCAGGAAGCCAGGCAGTGCCGCCACGATGTCTTCAAGCTCTTGAGCTGAGAGAAGCCCTGTGGGGCCCGCCAGAGGAGTGCCTGCAGGGCAAGAAGATGGGTGAGTCAGGAGGTAAGACTGGGAGGTAAAAGAGAGGTGAACAAGGCATGGACTGAGTTTCATAGAATTCAGAGGAATTTCTGACAGACCTGTCTCTGCACACACCTGTTGACCCACTGCCCGCAGCTCTTGGCCCGGGAACCTGTTGCTGGATCGCCCCAGCCAGCGAACCCATCCACTTCTAAACCGCAGCCAGTGCCTTGGCAGCCCTGAATTTCAGGACCGCGGATAGCGTCCCAAATAAGGCAAACACTCAGCACCACGGACAGCTTCCAAAAACCACGCGGGCTTTCAGCACCACGGACAGCGCCTCAGCTCAACACCGGCGAAAAAGCCCTTTTCGTGCTGCCCGGAGCAGCGGCTGCGCTTCCCCCGGCTTCGGCGGCTCCATCCCTGCAACTTCCCGGGCTTCCCTCCCCGAGCTCCTGGAGCGCCTCTGCGCTCATGGGTACTGGGGCCATTCAGGGCTCTGTCCTCTCCTCCCAGAAGTCTGGCACCAGGGAGAGCATCCCATCTCTCTAACCCCCATCCAGAACTACGGTGAGCTCTATAGAGCTCAGGAGGAAGAGAAGAAAGGCCTGAGTCCCAAATGCTTCTCTCCTCAGCTCACCAACACGCTGCCCTAGGCGTGCAGCAGTCCCAGAGTGTTCCCTCAGCCCCACTGTCCCCGGTGCCCGCTAGCTCGGGTCTCCAGCAGCCCCAGATGCTCACCTCCAGCGAAGAAGACGCCTTTGCGAGTGTAGATGCAGGCAAGACTCATGATGTGCAGGTAGGACAGCCGGACCTTGTCCGCCTCGGCCAGTGGCAGCAGCTCCTTGAGGTTCCGGATCTCAGCGTTGATCTGGTCTCGGCGCGCCTTGGAGGCGCCCTTGGTGGAGCGGTACATGACTGCCGGCTGCGGAGCTCCAGCTCGGGCGCTCCGAACACCTGCGTTCCTGTCCCGACGCGCCGGTGGCTTCCTCCTCCTTGCTTTCCCGTCTCTCGCTCAGGCTCTCTCTCTCTCCTCTCCGGGCTCCGCTCTGCTGCGCTGCCCCCCTTGCCTGCCTCGTTCCGCCTTATATAGCTCCTACCGGGCGTGGGGGGCTCACTTTGGAGACGGGGGGGCGGGAAAACGGGAGGCTGGGCTAAACAAGCTGCAGCGGGAGCCACTGACTGGGGAGGGGGGACGCTTCTCCTCCCTCCCCGGCTTCCGACGTCATCTCGTGACGTAGAACGGGAGCGGGAGGGGGACCAGAAGGAGGGGGAGAAAGGAGGCTGCGGAGGGGGCCGTGGCTGGCGGGAGCTGAGCAGAGCACGAGCTGCATTGGGAAGGCCTGAAAGGGGGTAGAGGACCCAGGAGTCCGAGTGTGTCTAGCTGAGGGAAGCAACAGGGCAAGGCCTGAAACCCCTGGCAGGGGAGTCTGTAAGGGCAGGGAGGGGCTGGTGCCGACATGGATTTTTCTGAAGAGATACGGATGGTCCACAAATCCCCTCTCGATATTTAGCAAACAAAGGTCACGTTGGCATGAGGGGAGGAAGGATCTTTAGCCTCTGTGGATCAGGTCACAGCTAGGATTTCTCTCTCGAGACTACTCAATCCGGGATTCCCTTGGCCGCTTTCAAAGATCAAATCCTCTTTTCCCCTTCTCAAACCCAGGTCTTAAGCGATTTAGCAGGGGGAGTTACATGGGGGTCTAAGTCCTAGGATGGAAGGGAAAGAGGGTCCTGGGGGAGAGGGACTGGCTGAATTTGGCCTTGGTCCCATTTCCCACAGCCCAGAACAGGAATACCAACGGTGAAGTCTGCAGTCATTCTTCGTTTTCCTGTCAATTAATGATCCTCGGCCACTGACCGAGGAAGCTGAGGCAGGAACGAGGGCACGGTGAGGATCTGGGTCTGCACCGAGGCATCCCTTCCCCCCGTTGCCAGCGCCCAAAGCGAGCGGTTCCCCCACCGCTTGCCAGCCCGCGTCTCCTGGCTGGCCGGGGGGCGGGGGCGGGGCCGGGGGAATCCCAGCTCCATATTAGGACAGGAATCCTCCGCGGCTGCCTCCGCGGCGGGCGGGCGGGGCCGGGCTGCCTCTGCACCGCTCCGGAGGGCTCCCCCCACCACTGCCTCCGGCGGGGAGGATGGGGAAGCAACAGAGAGTGAGCGGGCCGTCCTGGGCTCTCCGCGGCCCCTGCACCTACGAAGGACCCCTTAACTCCGCCAGGCTGTCCTCCACGCCCCCCTGCACACCCCTCCCCATCAACGGCGCTGGGATTCCTCGCTCGGTCTCAGCCTTCAACTCTCCACATCACCCCCCTCCAACTAGTTTATCTCTTTGTCAGCTTTGTGGTCTCACCTGTGTGCACCCCCCCCCCATTCTGCTCTCCCGTGACTCTCTTCCTTTCGTCTTCCTTATCTTTGACTCCGATTCTCGCCACCTTTACCCTATCTGTCCCTTCTTTCTTTCTTCACCACAGACAATTACTTTCCCTGGCATGGGAGATGCCTTTCCTTCCCCCAGGACCCCTTAAAGGGAGAAGGAGGTGGTTTCTGGGACATTGTATCTGAAGTCTCATTTGGTGGAGTGGGGGTGGGGGTGAAATCACTTGACGGGCTGGAACTGGGGCCATTTACAAACTGGGGGAGGGGATTGACCTATAAAGTCACATAAGAAGGGCGGAGATGAACTTTGACATCAAGAAAAAAACCGGAGTCAAGAAACTCCCCACTCCTCATAGGAAAGGGTGGTAGCAAGGGAGGCAGAATAGGAGGGGAAAGTGCAGAAAGGAGAAGGGCGTCTGAGAACAGGGATCCACAGCTGTGAGGCCATATCTTGTGACATTTTGGCTGAGGCTGGGCCATCCACTTCCACCATCTGGTGCTCAGTGGTACAACTGATGTGGAGGGAAGGGGAGGGGGCTTGTGTGCCACTGTCTCTAACCCTAGACCACAGAGAGATGGTTCCTGCAGAAGGACATCTCTATTGCCACTTTCATCTCTGTCTGACTTCCCGACATACCCACCCTTCCCTCCCTCAAGCTTCTGTTTGGACAACCCTTGGTCTTAGGACCCCCTTCCTGTATGAAAATCCAGGGCAGTGTTTCTGTTTTCCTCACCCACTGCTGCTTTAAGCGCTGGCCAGGAAACATTTCTTAGCGTCCCTGTCCAAGCTAAGAGGTGTAGTGGCTGGGTCCGGTTGGTCTTCAGTAAGCTGAGCAGACCCGCAGTGAAAGACTGGGACACTGGCCTCTGTCCATGGTTCTGAAAGACTCACTAGTGAAGTCAGATGGGCCATGATCTGCCTAGGATGTCAAAGCAGGGCTTGTGTATACACAAGCCTCAGGGTGAGACCCCCTTTGGCTCTTCCCTTCTCATCTGAGGCTGAATATGGGGAGGGGGCCTGCATGAAAGACACGATTCCTGGGCTTAGGAGTAAAGTAAGCATGGGAGTGAACTGGGCTCAGGAGAAGAGCCCTTGGATTTTTCCAGGAGAATGGGACTAGGGTGAAGGCACTCTGGAAGGGAAGAAGGGTCTAGGAAGGGACAAGGGGGGTAGAGAAGGGCTCATCCTAGTTTTCCCACTCTGATTCAAGTTGAGAAGCTCTTTCTGCCCCAAAGTCTCCTCTCCCTGGGCCAGCTCCCACCCTCCCTTACCTCCCACCTCCGTGAAACTATTTTTAACTGCACAGCACCAAAAATAGCTTGGCAGCAGCTTCAGGCTGTGGGAGAGGAGCTATTTATATCACCAGTGACGGTTCCGAAATAGCAAGCGGGAGGAGGGGGGCGGCTGGCACGCTAGAGAGCTCCTGGTCGCTGCTAAAAATACTGGCAGTGTGAGTCATCCTGGCCTGGCTGAGTCACCCTGCTCCACACACCCCCCCACCCCCCAGTGGCAGGCAGCAGCAGCAGAAGAGGTTAAGGAACTGGAAGCCTGAGGTGGGGGAGGCACGGCAGCCCGTTGGCTGTGGGAAAATAAGCAAGGGAATGAATTGGGAGAGGGGCTTTGGGGGAGTGTGTAGATGGAATTGGGTGGGGGAGAAGAAGCCACCTAGGCAAACCCACTGGGTGAGCCTGCAGCATTCCCAGATATGCACCACTGCTCAGAGATGCTTGGGCAATTGAAGGGAGGGAACTAGACTGTGAGGGTGTGTGTGTCTGTCTGTCTACTTGTCCATTTGACTGTGACTATGTTTGTATGTCTCTGTGTGTGTCTGCATCTGAGCCTGTGTCTGTCTGAACATGTGATTGTGTTTGTGTGACTGTATCTGTGTATTTTTCTGCAAATGTCTTTGTAGCTGTGTGTCTGTATCTCTATGTATTAGCCTATGCTTGCATCTATGTCTGTCTTTTTAAAATGCCTACAAGTCCCTATGTCGCGTGCAGTTCTATGTCTGTGCCTGTATGTGATTGTATGTCTGCAACTTTCTGTGTGCCTGTGTGTGTGCGTGTGTTCGTATCTGAGTCTGGCTCTGTCTCTCAGCATCTGACTGCGTGCATGGCTTCGCATGTATCCCCATCCTCAATGCAGCTGCTGTTGCCCTGATGTCACTTGTTGGGTTCTTGCATTGTCTATCCCTTGCTCGCCTCTCTTCACCCAGTATCTTCCCCTCTTTCCAGCCCTTGGCCCCCAAACATTTGGGAAGGTCTCTTTTGTCACATGCAATTTCTACATAAAGGGATGGAGGAAGGGAGCCCCGTCTGACCTCTCCCCACTCCCTTGAACTATCCTGAATCTTCCCTGGCCTGCAGCAGTAAGTGGGTTTCCATCACTCCATATTTGGGGAGCTAAGAGAAGGGCTTTCTATAGTTCTAAAAACATTCCTGGTGTGGGCACAGGCGTGTGCAGTGCATACACACAGACACACACAAAACCGAGAAAGAATGAGAGAGAGAAAAAAATATCAAGGTCTCTTCTTTACGGAGACGAGCGCTTGCATCTGTTGCCATGGCAACCCGCCCACTCCTTCCCTGAGAAATCACCAAGAAGAGGTGATGGCATAGAAAAGGGATTGGCTGATTTCTTTCTTTATTATTTTTCCCAAAAAGGGCTTTTTATAGCAAGAACAAGCCATGAGATCTCTTACCCCTATCTTGCATAGCTTTATTTGGGACCTACAGGGACACCACATCTCAGCCTCTATCAGAGAAGAGGAGGTCGATCTTTTGCAGAGATTTTGGGGAGAATGATCTCCCAGGAGGGAGCTGAGGGGTGAATAAGGAGTCTGGTTCTCAAGAATAACATGAAGGCTCCTGGTTAGACTTTTTTTTTTTTTTTATGGAAATGTGGGGCAAGGATCTTGACAGAGGGATGTCAAGGTCTTGTCTTGCTCTGGATAAATGTGTATATGAGAAAGAGCGAGAGAGCAAGAGGGACAGAGAGAGAAAGAAAGTGGAGAGGAGAGAGACAGAGACAGACAGACAGAAAGAAGATTTTATGGTCTTCAGAGAAGACAATAATAAGATGACAAGATGCCAAAGAATCCAAGCAAGCTCTCATGGTAGTCAGACCAAACAGATGGACAAGACAGCTCAAGAAACATCCATTGATGCAACTGGTGCAGGAAGTCACCCCTGGACTTCAGCTGTGGCTACTTGGCCTGGGTTCCAAGGAAGCAGGCGCCATAAGTGAGTGTTCTAGGGGAGCATTGAAGCTCACCTTTCCTACCTCTAGTCCCAGTCTGAGTCTCAAAGGCCTTCAAAGCTTGGCCACCAGCAACTGCAGCCACATCACTTTCTTGAGTAAATTGTAGCTTCCTGCCAAATGACTGGATGCTGGAAAGAAAGGAATTCCTCGTTTCACTTGGGGCTGGAGGTTGTAAAGTCAGAGCAAGAATCTAACTCTGAAGAGAGACAGAGACACCTCCCCTCCCCAATGCGCTGCCACCTGCAGAAGACTTTCTGAGCAAGGAACTGACCTGGCGGGGGTGGGGTGGGGGTGGAGGCAGTTCTACTCATCTGATGGAGCGGAGAGATGAAAAGACTTCATATTTGCTCTGATGTATTAGACATATTCTCATGACAAATCTGGCTGATATATTATGCACATTTGGTAGATGGTGAAACTGAGGCTCGTAGATGGACAATGAATTTCTCAAAG